CAGTGTGGTCACCTTCAAATAGTATGTTGCATTCGCAGAACTAGACCAGAAACACTTGTGATTACCTGTTCACGCACGCTGTGCTATTGTTTTGTGGATATCTAGCTTGAACTTGCCATATACTAAGAAAGGCATAAGCTTGTATGTTTGTGTAATTTATATTATTTTAAATTATTGAATTTAAACAATTCAATATGAATTTTAGTTATTTATAGTATTGACTAGATTAATACATAACTTTCAGTTTTTAAATATTAACATATACACTGACCAACTGCAATACATTGATAGCACGGTAATGAAGCTTTACATGTGACAGTTCAGTTTCAGTGTTTGGTAATATTGCTAAGCAGGCCCAATCTCGTCAGGTATTCTATGACCTAGAGCAACCTAGTCATAGAAGCATTTTTGTAGCTTGCCTGTTTCTCATATTTAAGACTAATCGTTATCAGTTGCAATTAATATTGTAGAATTTTAGCAGCTTTTCTGGTAGAAATGATTACGTAACCATATAAACTGATGGTGTATGAAGCATTACATCTACTAGCTCTAGATTTCCTAACGTTCCTGAGAGTTTCGATACATGTGATGAGCAGAGCACAGATAATCCATTGTGTAGCTTTGCGCTTAACGACAACTAACCAAGCCAAACCGTTTGTTGCTAAAAACAGCAGAATTTAATTATAAAGTATACAACGATTTAATAATTAACGGCAGAGCTTCGAGTAATCGTCAGGTAGAAGTTATTTGACCTTTTTTTCGTATATTACGTTGGAGGTACAATGATTTTGAGTGAACTAGCACTGATAATAAGTATAAGAAAAAAACAAAACAATTACTATAAGAGGTCTTAAAGGTTGGAGTACTTTCGAAATGTTGTTCCATCTTCAGCAGGAGCTCCTGATGAAAAAATAAACTACTTTTCAAATGTACTCACAAGTGATAAGTGTTCGGCATTTCAGGTTTCATAATTAATACACTAAGACAAACCCCAAAAATGAGTAGCGTAAATTAATGGCTTGTTTTTTGCACACACACACACATATCTGATATAAAAATCACAGAAGCCGCAGGGAAAAACTCGGATATTACAAGGAATTCTTTGTCATTGCGGTAGTTCCGGTGACATCTGTTTTTTAAACACAAAGAATCCTGACCACGAACATGCTCGCCCTTTCAGCCGTCGGGGCTTTATAAAATTAAGGTCAATCCCACTAATCGTTGGTAAAGAGTATCCTAAGAGTTGGTGGTGGGTAGTATTGACTAGCTGCCTTCCCTCTAGTTCATCACTTCAAAATTAAGGACAACTAGCGTAGATAGCCCTCGTGTAGCGTCATGTGAAATTCAAAACAAACATACAAATCATTCTAAAATATTTTTATGAGTCAATCAATCTCCTCGTTAACTCCCTCTGGAAAGAATTCTAGTTAGAAACGAGAGGATAGTTCCGTATTTCTAAACAAACTGAATAACCCCATTTATTGACATTTTTCATACGTCTTCCGCTCCAGATTCTGTTATAAAAAGATCACGTACTATGAACCCTCGGAGTCACAGTCTGGGCATGCTAACCACTAGACAACGCGTGGTCCCCTGTTTAAAGATAATTTTAGTGTTTAACTTTAATTGGGTATGTAAGTTGATTTTTAACTCTTTTTGACTTTATCCTATATTGAAAGTTCTCAAGCACATTACCTAGACTTTGTCATTGTTTTTATAATTACTCCCCCATTTCCTTTTATTTCTGATGAAAAGATATAAATTCAGTTATCCATTATTTGACTTTTCTCTGTCTTTGGGCCTAACATGGCCTGATGGTTGGGGCACTCGATTCACAATCTATGGGTCGCAGATTCGAATCCTACTATCGAAAATGCTCGCCCTTTCATCCATGGGGGAGTTATAATGAGACGGACAATCCCACTGCTCGTTGGTAAAGATTAGCCCAAGAGTTGGTGGTGGGTGGTGTTGATTAGCTGCCTTCCCTCTATTCTTTCATATCTAAATTAGGGACAGCTAGTGCAAATAGCCCCCGTGTAGCTATGCGCAAAATTATACAAAACAAGCACACAAGCAAGTCTTCACATTCGCGTAGTGTAGTCGATACTTTTTTTAAATAAATAACTGGCATTTAATTTTCAAACAAAGATTTAAGATTAATGGGAAATATACTGATGAGATTCATAAAGCTTGCAGGTAGTTCAAGGAATCGGTATCATTTGTCTATCACGATCTCTTCTTCAATTGGCAGTGAAATCCGTGTGGCAATCTGTGATTTCTACTTGACTTTTTTGTAGGTTTTTTTGTACTTGGCTTCTTGTGTACAATCTATCCCATGGTGTTATTTATAATTCACCTTTCGTACTTACGTAGTGTTTTTTAATTGGCTTCTGGTGTACAATGTGTTACGTATTATAATTTCAAATAGCCTGAAATTGAGTTCAATGATACTTTAATTTAGAAATTAAATTGTACTTTGAATTTAGCAGTTGAGTAAAAGCCGATACATTGTCAGTTTATGATATTTGCCAACAAGATTG